AGGTGGACTGCAACTGCTTGGAGACAGGTTGCATACCACCAGAGTGAGGTAATCCTAGTTAAAGGTGGTGTGCATTCAACCTCTGGCCAACCAGTTGGTCACTGCAACTACTTGCAATCTGCCGCCGAATGAAAAATCACCTCGCAACCACTTTTTCCCCTAACCACAAGGAGGTTTCTGTCCTATTTTTACTCTTGGGTGATTTGGACTCGAGATGGTTCTTGTGTACCTGGTAACGCCAGTTGGTGTAGGCTCTCAGGTAGGTGGCATTGTTCTTTTCCTCAATGGTCACCAGGTAGTCTCCTAGAAGTGAGTGAGCACAGAGGAGGCAGTGATAAAACCCAAGATTTTTCAGTGTCTAGAGTCTTTATTTTTGATGCCTTTCCAGTTTACACTGTCATCACTTGAAGCCATTTTGCTCACATATGGGAGACAGACAACAAAAAAGTGAATGTCAGTACAGAGGGTAGAGGAAGACAGGAAATGTCTTTACCTATCTTGCTATGCTGGATGCTCCTCACAGCGCCCATGGTGGAAAAGCGGCAGATGAGGGGGCAGCCTCCACCTCCACATTGTACGCCTCCACCTGGATTCAGTTCAGCACAACAGTGTCAGGCTACTACAAAGGGTTAGTTATTAAATGCTTAAGTAAGATGAGGAAGACAAAACATCAATAATAACCTTTGAGCATGATGTAATTCAAGTGGTCTGGAGCGAAATTAACTCGTCCCAGTGGAGTTAACGGGACTGATATGCCCTCAAATACCTTTGCACATCTGGTGGGAGAGGCTTAACACAAAGCTGACTATTTTATCTTATTTTGCCTCGCTACCACCAAAGTCATTACTAAAATAAATACATTTTTAAAAAGGTCACAAACTGTAAACATAAGCACATTAAAGCAACCTTGCATCCTCCAGTCGCCACCACAAAAATAGCTCCACCTCCACAGCAGACCAGTCCGGGTTCCTTCTCCACCTGAGCCACAGAGTGGGAAAGCAGTGAAGACGAGAGCGTAGGTAATAAAACACAGCTGACACGGGATCAGCGTCAGTCAGGTTTCACTTTACCTGCACAATCTGCTGAGCGGAGAAAGGATGGCAGTTGTAGACGTGCACCATGTTTGGTCTTCTTCTGGCAAGAGGACTCTGTACAAGGTGGAAATTTAAAACAAGAAAAAAAAACCCCAAAACATTAGTTAAGGTGCTTCATTCTTACTTTATCTGTGTTTCTCAGAGGCTTCATCCATCAGGGTAAACAGGACTACTACAAGAAAAGGGATGCACTTAGTCTCAGGCACTGGATTGTTTATCGATGAGGACTGATGCCATCTGGAAAGTTTTCCTTTATTTGACACATTGGGCTAATTTGCATACTTGCACATATAATTCTCGTGCAGTTTTTTTTTTTTTTTTACTTTTACACATAAACATCATATCACACACACATGAATTTTACACGAAAGTGTACTTCCTCCATTTCTTTGGTAGATATTTGTTGGCGTTTACTAGGAAAAGTTGTTGTTTTTTTACTGATCTGCAGGTCTGCGTCACAATTCAACTTACTTTTGACCAGTGAATTAGGCTAAAAACTCTTTCTGCAGACTTTCTCTCAAACTTTAACATCAGTCAGGGGGGGAAAGGCGAAACTATCGCAATTAAATCTCAGAGACCTGCGGGAACAACACGGTTGTAATAAAGGTAAAAAGAAAAAACACACTACAAACCTCTGCATTCAAGCCTGAATTTCTAGCCGTCCATGTGGGCCCGAAGCAGGGCTGTGGTCATCCCTGTGACTTATTTCTGTAATCGATATCACATGCAGCAGTCTTGTGAGCAGCAGCAGCCCCCGATTGTCTCACTTCACATCACATGAGCTCTTCGACCGACTATTTTCGTTCTTCTTACTTTTTTGACTTTCTACATAAACATGCGACAGACGTTTTCCTTCGTGAAGTCGCTTTTCTCGCGGATTCTCCTCTCTTCCTACTTGAGCTTCGCTGCTGCAGTTTATTGATTTCACGCCGCAAAGAAAGAGGAAGTAAAACGTCAACCACAACAATCCAGCGCCCGCCCTTTTCTGGTTTTGATTGGCTTACGAGCCTGCTTGTATTGCGTTCAATTTTTTTATTGGTTATCGAGCTGTCATAAAGTAAAGGGCTGGTTCTGTTTTGTCTTTTGTCTTAAATATTTGTTGACATTTTTCATATACTTTCATGACTTCTTGTAACCCATTACCATTTTGCAGATAGTATGATATATCATAGTATCGCAGAGCAGTTTGCCTCCTCCTTCCAGCTTAGAGTATGAGTCCTGAGAGACAGGGCACCACTAAGGAGGGTCGCCCCGGTAAGATTGTCTTATGTTGGTAATAATTTTAATAAACGTGAGCACAAGAGAGAGGAAGGCACCCTGCAATGAGTTGAAACATTAACTTGTTATTTATTCCTGATTATACAATTTTTGTCATTCGGATTGTGTCACTTTGCATGTTCCTCACAATTTCCAGGCGTCACCCCCTCCCCTCTGCTGCACCCTGCACTCTTCTGTTTTTGGTGTGCCAACCCAATATTTTTAGTGACCCCCCATATGGCCACCCCATTAAAAAAAATCTGGAGGCTGCCCTGCTGAGAGAGACATCTTACTTCAATAAAAGTAACAACTAAACTATTAAAGTAAAATAACAAATTAAAAATTAAAATTAAACTTTAACACTGCAGATTAGTCTTCACAAGTGATCCCTACTATTTTAACGTATCAAATACAGCACCTTCACTAAAGCTGGAATGTCGCTGTCTAAAGAGAGTCTAATTATACTGTGAATGTCACATCAGCACCAATTCACCCATCAGTCAAATGTGAAGCAACACTGGGGCTGATTTATGTGAAATTGTAACTCAGACCACTGGTTGAAAGAACATTACAAATGACACACTTTGTAATTATCAAGGATTTATTTTTACATTGGTGACAGAATTATTTTATTATGTATTTATTTTGTAACTTGTCAGATCAGATCAGTTTTATGTTGCCGTTTTAGGTGAATGGAAAGAATAAGGTGATGTTATATTTTATAGAATCAATAATCAACTTCCAAAGGATGAAAATTAAATAAAAGAAAACATTTAACAGATTTGAACATGACAGCAGATATCCAAAGGGGGGCTACCATCATATCTGCCCTCTAACCTCTGTATCTGTAGATAACCTACAAAGGGGCCCCAGATATAGTGATTGATTACCTCTGTGAAATAGTGACTGTATCTCTAAAGGGACAGCTGAAAATATTTCAGAAGTCTTTTGGCACCATTTTACCTGATAATACATACATTTTTCTATTTCCTCTCTGCCTACTCTTGAGAACTACTCGTGGTACACTATTAACTATTTATTCAAATTTCATCAGTTCAAAAGACTCAGAACAAAATAATTTCCACATATTTGGAAAAGCAGTTTTCCAGATGAAATACATAACATACAGTGCAGATTAGGACTGTATACCAGTAATGTTTCTATAGCCATTTAAATATAAGACTTTCAAAGCTCAACGTTAGTGGAGTAAAGGTAGTGCTACTTTGGAAAGAACCATTTCAATTTGTGGCTTTCCATTTTCCTCCACAAGATGGCATCGTCCCTTCTTAAATACTACACGATTATTCCCAGTTGTTGCCCAGTAATACCAGTACTTAGATATTGTGATGCAAAGAGCCGTATGCGTTTTGGGATCAGCCCCTCTTGAGGGATTGTTGCTGATTCGCTTACGTTTCTTGATGAATTGATTTGCTATATTTTGTAACTTAAAAACCGTCAGATTTAGTTTCAATCAAAAAGTGTAACGTGAGGTGACAAATACAACAAACAAACAACAACGCAGAACAAAAACTCACGTATAAAGTTAAGTGGTTTTAGGTTTTAGTTCAGTCTTTATTTTGAAGACGGAAGTCTTTTATTTTGAAAGGAAGACGATTTCGCCAGAAAGTAGCAGACGAAACATGAAAGTTAGGGAGACCAGGTGGAAACGTACATTTAATTAAGTTATTAATTCTATTTTTCTTAAAAAAAAAAAATAAAGTCTACAATGTGAACAAGGTATATACAACTTTAGAGTTGGCTAATGACTATTTGTGGGTTGATTTTGTTTCACCTTTTTTGTCCAGGTTTAAACCAATGACTATAGAAAACAGTTTTCTACAGTCATTGGTTTAAACTTAATTTGAAAAGGCGCCCGGTTGATTAGCATGTAAATTATCAGGATGTCTAAGCCGGAATGCTAACTAGCTACTGCGTTCGAAAGTTTTGTATCCGTTTAAATATTTTACTTTTAATTTTGCTTACCTTTGCTCTTGAAAATAAATACATCGCAAATGGTGCTAACTGTACCACCTGCAAGTGACTCAGTAATCAAGTCTGCAACCCAATGGCCATAATTAGATTTAACTTACACTCAAAACCCCGAAAAGTCTCGTGTAACCTAAACGTTTGATGATATTTTAATCGGGGGTTATTTAGATCATAATTTAAAAGAAATGACGGTGCAGAGAAACAGAAAAGCCTCTAGCCTTCACAGCGGATAACACGCACACGGGTTCCTTTTCTGACAGAGCAGGACACCCTTTAAGTCCTGCTCCTCCACCCTCCAAAGACAGTGCTGCCGGAGGGCTTTTCCAGCCAATTAGCACCACCTTGATTTGCATTTGCCCCGCCTGGTCCTGCCACAGCATCAGAAGGTAACTGTAAGGTAGCCAACGAAGCGCCACTTTTACGTGCCTTTTAATTGGCACTAGAGAAATAAAACGAAGACGCGTACTGTAGTTCAATTTTTCGTTGTCTGCTGCGGTCCTGACAGATACTCCGGGGTCGGGGCTTTTCTCTGACTGTAGTAACTGAAATGGATGATACCATCTGCCCGCTAAGACTACACCGTCCCAAAACCAGGGTGCTGTAATCAGTACTCTGGCAGTGGGGGTCTCCTATCAGCTTTGCATTACATCCCCAGCAGATGTGCAGCAGCCCGTCTGTGTCGCTCTGCAACTCTCTCAAGGTAAGACTGGTGTATGGGCACTTTTACCTTTAGGATTATTTGTTGCAAAAAAGCGAGAGAAATACGGTAAAGCTCCGGAGAGTCTTAACCATTTAAATCCCTTCTAATCGCTGCACTGAACTAGTGTGCATGTTTGAACTGCTAGGAGTTAAGACTTTGTGTGCTTGGAGGTGAAAGTGAAGCAGAACTGTGTTGCACTCACTTCTTTAACTTCTTTTACTGTTTTTCTAAATTGGCTTTTTAATGTAACTATTAAGTTACAATTATTGCAGGACACATTCAAGTTACATGGCATAAAAACTTCCTCACAAATATCCCTCAAACACTGGATGGTTTTGTTTTTTTAATAACATGCTGAGAACATTTTGCTGTATTTAGCAAGAAAGATGAAACTGCAGAACTGATAAATTCCACACAAGTAATAACTAGCTGTAAATTATCCTGGGTACATATCTGCAGTCATGTTTTATAGGCTAGAAATCTGTTGGCTCAGAGCTCATGAAAGCATTTCAGAGATTCAACCAGGGGTGTAAAATTAAACCCAACACACACCTTTAAGCGTGAAACAACTCTTTATGATATTAATTTAAATCACATATCAATTGTTGTCAGTCAAGCTGTTATAAGTATTGTCTTTGAGGGAAAGAGTGCAGTGTAGGTGATCCTTTACTGGAAATTGTGTACTTTTATGGGCTTAAATTACACTAAGTATTTTCCTCTTTCCCTTGAGGGTTGTAAAGATGCTTGTATTTAAATACTCTAATAAATCAGTGTAAATTTGCATCCCATAAAACGCTGAAATCATCTTGGGAGAAGAGAATGAAAACTTTGAATGAAATGTAACTTTTGGAGGCAAAAATCCAAACCAAATGAAAGTTGCTGGTATTGTGGTGCAGTTTGATAGTAACTTTTCTCTTTGGACCAGGAGGACAGTGAAAGTCTTTCAGCGTTTCGTACAAATAAGATGTTTGCTGTTGTGTGGCTACTTAGCTGCAAGCCTGGCCTTGCTCGATATGCAGGTGTGTGTGATAACTTGATGACGTTGTTAAATTCACATATCCCCTTGGGCAGTGGTTTAGCGTCGGCACACATATACGCGTTCACAAAATCCTGGCAGCTGCCAAGCAGATTTAATTCTGTTTCTTTGAGACGGGACTGTAGAGCAAATGGATAGAAATGCATAGATGATGGTAGGGAGGACAGCTGGAAATGAAAAGGATGCACAAACATGACGTGAGGAGGATGAGGAAAACACAGATGATGAAAGAAAATGAAGAGAGGGGAAGTAGATGGAAAACAAGAAGTTTTTCTAAAAGAAAATAAAGTGAAAGGGGAGAGACTCAAAAGTATTTTTGCAGACTAAGAGGAGAACAAGCAACAAGAAAGCTTTTTTGATTTTGTCCTACTATGGTAACTCATTGACTTCTCCTCATCTGTTATATTTCTTCTGCTTCTATAGTTACTGTAACCTACAGATAAACATGTTTTGAAGGCGGCTTCAGACTTGTTCTTAAGGCGAGCACCCGACCACAGGGAGAAAATGATATTCCACATCATTCACATATTTATTTTCACACCTCTGAAGAGGTCGGGGAGTTTTTTGACTAACTATAATGTTGCCTGCATTTCAGTGCACAGTTCAAGTTTCAGTGAACACATTCAAAGCGAGTAAATTGGTGTTTATGGTGCTCACATTATAGATGTATGGTTTTTCTACTTGGTTTTTGATGTGCTGCAGACATTTATGCCAGGTAAGCCCTGCAAAGCCCAAGTATTGCAAATGTACCCTGCATTGAGCTGCAGTGATGCAAAGCAATGCTGGCAAGCAGCTGAGATCAGTAATGAAAAGATGCATGCGTGGTGTGTAATTTGAAATGGGGGAATCAGTTCTGTTAGATGGCTGGATCTGCCATCTGTGATAATTTCCAGTTGCAAATGACTGCATGTTTGAGTTTACAATAAATACTGAAAGATGGGAGCTGCCTGGGTCCAACTGTTTGTCTTCCAGTAACGCATTACCATAACTAAGGGTAGGTGCTTTACAAATAGCACACCATATAGAAACAATATAAAAAATAAGGTTTTCTTTTCCTTTTTATAATAGGAAAAGTTTGTTTTAATACCTCATTATTATGATTATGTCTCTTGCTATGTATTGCTTCTATAAGTGGCCCCACCCTTTTTAAAAAAAACTAAAATTCCCCCAGTTGTTTTTGCATTTTTCCAGCTAATAGCACAGTAGCATAAAGAGTATGACATTTGAAAAATGTGCAAAGTGAGCTGAAATTGGTGGATGCATTTCAGCAGACAAACGTGAAGAAACCTTACCTGCCACCTGGAATGTTGGCCTTTTGTTCTATGTGAGGGGAAAGCATCTTCTCTCTGCCCAGTGCCCTTCATTTAAAATAATCAAACACTTTGCTGCGATGCTGAGTAACAGGAGCTGGAATTGCCTTGGTGGTGATGCTGATGTTATTTTTGCAGCTTAATTCAATTGGTTGGATTGTGTCAGTCTAATGTGATTGGCAAAATGGATGCCCTTGGAGTATAAAAGGCAGCCAATACAGGCTTTAGACAGTGGCTGGGGGGGAAAGGGAAATTGTCCTCTAATGCTGTCTTGGCTTCTCTGGCCTTTGAATTTGTTGTTTGCCATAGCTGCTTTGGTATTCGGTAAGTATCTATCAAATAGCCTGGCCTCTTTAGATCATACAGCAAGGGAGACTATTTATATGCTATAGTAAAAATGCATGCTGTGACAGCGCCCCAGAGAAATGTGGTCATGGGAAACAGCTGAGGTCAAACCAACAGGAAGTGGAGAGGAGAGGACGAAGAACTCTCAAGGGACAGAGTGTAGTTTTCTTGATGGTGAACTTGTTGACTGGTTCTACTGGAAATTCCTGTATGATTCTTTACTGCTCACTTTATTTGTACTCATGTGCTGGTTTCTTCTGAGCTTTTATGTTCTGGCAGCTCTATTGGGAATATGCTAGCAGATCCCATTCTTTGTATATTAAAGAAAAATGTAGAAAAGACATCCCAGAAATTTCTGATGAGACCTTTCTCTTTGCCCAGTTGTTGTCATCTCTATCGAACTGCCTTATGAAGGCAAGAAGGGCATGCAATATATGACTTTTTCCCCAACTTATCCAACTCCCTTAAACCTCCACCACAGTTTTCAGATTTGTTCCTAGATTTTGGGATCATCTGGAAAGACTCTGTTATCTTCCAGCAGCCATGTGGAGCCTTGTAAAATCTTTATGAGATAAACCACTCGCAATATCTGGGAGAAGCCTCAACACTTTAAAATGATATACAGCTGTTCAATAGTCTACGCTACTCAGTTGTTACACGAAGCATCTGGCTGAAAGATGCAGTGAAAAGGTCTTGATATCAGTAGTAGACGGGGTGTGGCCAACACTGGTTCACTAGCATCCTTGTACTGCACAAGCTCAGTTAACCCAGTCATTAAATTTCCAAGACTGGATGGCACATTTTTATAGTAACCACGTAACTTCGACCTTTCTCGATCTGTTAACAAGCGAAAGTGAAATGGACAGTTTGTGAACCTCACTTAGATCAATTTCTGTTTGTTCTTGCGAGTTGCTTCACATAAGGCATGCTAGAAGAGTAGATTAAAATTGAGAACAAATTTAAAAAGCTTATGCTAGTGATCTCATAATGCGGTTTTAGAAAAAAAAACTCTCAACGAGTTTTAAGCCTCTGGATTGTCTGCTAATGTATCATAAACTGGATGACTGGACCAGTTACCTGTGACCAAAGTGTAATAAGGTGTGTGAGTCAGAATATGTGTGTATTTATGTATTTAGTGTTTAAAACGTGGCGTCCCAGTACTCATTACTCATTTTTGTTAAACCTTAGAAAATGTCAGTTTTACCATAAAACCTTACAAAAACATTACATTAACTACACATCTGTGTAAAGGACGACCAAAACAACAGCACTGTGGCCAGTATTAGTGGCTTTCATTAGAATAAACAAGCGTACTATAGAAGGTTGGGTTATGGTTCAAAGATTTGGTAGGTCTCTACTTCAAAGGTCATGTAAGTTAATAACACAGCGAGTGTGGAAGTGTGGCAGGGTGTGTGTTAAGACAGTGTAATGACAGCAGCAGGATGAGAGGTGGAGATGACACATTGGAAGATAAGAGGTCACTTGTGGTCTCAGCCTTTTTATTATGCACTGCTTTCTGAAAATCTTGTGAATGCCATAACTCAAGATGGAAGTCATCTAGGATCTTCAAATACAGGGAGTTCAGAATTATTAGGCAAATGAGTATTTTGTCCACATCATCCTCTTCATGCATGTTGTCTTACTCCAAGCTGTATAGGCTCGAAAGCCTACTACCAATTAACACATACTGTGTGAAAAAGGTGACTGAAAAGGAAAAACTTAATGCATCATGGGAGTCCCCCAGCAGCCTATGCCTATTGCAGCATAACTAAGGGAGGATTCAGGGTCACCTGGTCCAGCCCTAACTATGTGCTTTACCAAAAAGGAAAGTTTTAAATCTAATCTTAAAAGTAGAGATAGTGTCTGTCTCCTGAATCCAAACTGGAAGCTGGTTCCAGAGAAGAGGTGCCTGAAAACTGAAGGCTCTCCCTCCCATTCTACTTTTTCATAGCAATGGCTATGAAAACAGGAATTGCAATGAGCAATGTGTGAGCTAGCATCGCAGTTTTGGTATAAACTTTAATGCACCATTTATTAAAGTTTACAGTTCCTCTAAGCATCACAAGTATATGCATCAATACGTGTAATGTTATCATAGACCAACACAGAGGTCACAGGGAGTCCTAAAATAAATAATATACAGGACTAATAGCAGGTTGTATGTGACAAGCCTGGTTTGATGCAGATGTAGAGGATTGTATGAAAACATCATCCTAAAATGAAAAAAATTATAATGGAATGAGTTTGATTTAGAGTGTTTATAAAATGAAGGGGAGGAGCAGGAACAATCCAGCATCAGAATAAAGATT